TGAACCAGGAGGTCACGGTTCCATTCCCGGTCAGGGCACATGCCCGGGTTGCAGGCTCGATCCCCAGTGTGGGGCGTGCAGGAGGCAGCCGATCCATGATTCTCTCTCATCACTGATGTTTCTATCTCCCTCTCCCTTCCTCTCTGAAATCAATAATATATATATTTATTTATTTAAAAAGCTATCCTATGCTCTTACTGGATATTGCTCATTTAGGTATGAAAAAATTAGTGAACTTTTTATGTCCAATACTTTCTAAGATATGAGACAGTATAACCTGCCACTATGGGAACATACATTTTTTGAAGGAATAAAATATCCACAATATAGTGGAGTATGACGCAAAATGTTATCTGTCTTTTACATGCACATACCAAATGTTTTCCTTTCCTTCCAGTTTGACCATGACATTAGAATGTTATGATTTTGAAAACACAAATGTGGCCCTGGCTGGTGTGGCTCAGTAGTTGGAGGGTCAGTGTGCGGGAGGCAACCAGTCTATGTTTCTCTCTTTCTCCCTCTCTCCCTCCCTGCCACTCTTTCTAAAAATCAATGGGAAAATATCCTTGGGTGACAATTAACAACAAAAAATACAAATGGGTTATGCCCGTTGTCTTTAAAGATGTTCAAAAGTGAACTCCTCTGGTTTATGAAATGATTCCTGCTGGAGGAAATCACCTTTGTATTAAAGAAAAAAACACCTGCCCTAACCGGTTTGGCTCGGTGGATAGAGCGTCGACCTGCGGACTGAAGGGTCCCAGGTTCGATTCCAGCCAAGGGCCTGTACCTTGGTTGCGGGCACATCCCCAGTAGGGAGTGTGCAGGAGGCAGCTGATGGATGTTTCTCTCTTATCGATGTCTCAAACTCTCTATCCCTCTCCCTTCCTCCCTGTAAAAAACTCAATAAAAAATATATATTAAAAAAAGAAAAAAACACCATTATTTTAAAATTTCTATCTTTGTTCTTGTGCACAGAGAGGTGGGCTTGGCAGGAAATATATAAAGTTGTCGGTAAGACTATATTTGAGAAGCATTTAATGTGTTTCAGGGGTGCGCAGGGCTAAGGGCCAATCATGGATGGGCTGGCTCATGGGGACCATCAAGAGCGAAGTGCCACTGCCACTCTAGCCTGAGGGGGTGGAGAGACCGATGGCACCAGAGCTCAAACAGCCCAGCCCCGAGGCTGTAGATGGCGGACAGGCTGCCCATAGGGGCTGTGGCCTCCAGCAGAGAAGCACAGCAGAGAATGTTGGTGAATTAAATATTAGACATCATTCTTTTTTAAAATATATTTTATTGATTTTTTTTACAGAGAGGAAGGGAGAGGGAGAGGGATACAGAGTTAGAAACATCAATGAGAGAGAAACATCAATTCAGCTGCCTCTTGCACGCCCCCTACTGGGGATGTGCCCGCAACCCAGGTACATGCCCTTGACCGGAATCGAACCTGGGACCCTTCAGTCCGCAGGCCGACGCTCTATCCGCTGAGCCAAACCGGTCAGGGCTAGACATCATTCTTTTTTTAAATCCTCACCGGAGGATATATTTATTGATTTGAGAGAGAGAGAGAGAGAGAGAGAGAGAGAGAGAGAGAGACATCAGTGGGTTACCTCCCAACCAGGAGTTGACCCTGAAACCTAGGTATGTGCCCTGGCCAAGAATCGAATCCACAACCTTTGGGTGCATGGGATGAGGTTCCAGCCAACTGACAAACCTGGTCACTCTGTTCCCTCCGCCCAGTCTCTCAAAGGTGCCTCCAGTGGCAGCGCCCAACCAGAAGCCAGGGGGCCAGGACCTCACTGACAGCACAGGAAGGGCCGCCTCCCGGGACAGGACGGGAGGGGCACACAGAGACCAGGGCCCTGGCTACTGTGCCGGCACCTGGGCTCCGGTAGCCACT